CATCCAACCATCTCATCTTCTGTTTTCCCCTTCTCCTCCCGCCTTCAGTCTTTCCCAGCATCAGGAATGAGTCAGTTCTTCGCAGCAGGTGGCCAAAGTATTGGAGTTTCAGCTTCAGCATCAGTCCTTCCAATGAGTATTCAGGACTGATTTCATTTAGGATGGACTGGTTGGATCTCCTTGCAGTCCAAGGAGATCTGTGTAGTTGCATGTGACAAGATGTCCTTCTTTTTCAAGGCTGAATAATATTCTGTTTATATATATCACATCTTCTTTATCCATTGATGCACTGACATACATTTACATTGTTTCCACATTTTGGCTATTATACCCATAGTGCTGCAATGAATGTGGGAGCCCTCAGGTCTGAGATCTTGATTTAAATTCTTTTGGATAAATACCCAGTATGGAATTGCTGGGTCATATGGTAGTTATATTCTTAATTTGTTGAAGAACCTCCACATTGTTTTCTGTGAGGACTGTACCAATTAACATTCTCACCAGTAGTGTCCAGGTGTTTCTTTTGCTCCACATCCTGGTCAACAGGTGTGGTTTTGTTTTGTTTTAAGTAATGGCCATCCTAAGAGGTGTGAGGTGATACAATATCTTATTTGGTTTTGCTTTGCATTTCCCTGATGATTAGTCATGGTGAGCTTCTTTTCACAGAACTGTTGACCATTCGTACATCTTTGGAGAAATGTGTTTTTTTTAAAGTCCTTTGCCCATTTAAAAATTCAGTTATTATTTTTGCCATTGAGTTATAGGAGTTCCTTATATATTATGGATATTAACTCTTCATCAGATGCTTTCTGCTAATATTTCCTCTCATGCCATAGGTTGCATTTTCATTCTGTTTCCTTTGCTGTGTGGACGTGATTTAGTTTGATGTAGTCTCACATGTCTATTTTTTATTTTGTTGCCTCTGGTTTTGGTGTCATAGCCATGAAATCATTGCAAACACCAATGTTATGAAGCTTTTCCCTTATGTAGTCTTCTATGAATTTTATAGTTTCAGGTCTTCTGCCTAAGTCTTTAATTAATTTTGAGTTGATTTTTGTGTCTGATGTTAGATATGTTCAATTTCATTCTTTTACATGTGAATATCCAGTTTCCCCAGCACTATTTGTTGAAACTTATCAGAACTAACAAATGAATCAAGTAAAGTTGCAGGATATAAAATTAGTACATGAAAATCAGTTGCATTTCTATACATTAATGATGAACAGTCTGAAAATGAAATTAAGAAAACAGTCCCACTTAAAAAAGCATTGAAAAGAATAAAATGCCTAGGAATAAACTTAACCAAGGAGATGAAAGGTGAAAAGTACAAAACACTGCTGATATCCTTTAAACAAAACTTGACTTGTTCTTTTAGGACTATATAAAGTCATAGGTAGATTAATCGAGTAAATAAATTCAGACTTAGTTATAAATGGCTTACTGATTTATCCTCCCCAGATACTGATCAGGAGTATTTTAACCCAAAAGTATGTAATAAGGTAATACTGGCTGAGCTGCCTGCAGGTGGAATATTTTAAAATAAATATTTAAAAATTGTAAACTGTAACACTTGGTTGTCCTGTCTAGCAGAACACCAGCCTTTTTTTGAGGATTAACATTTGGACAAAATCATGTACATTATTGGGTGTAAATACAAGCAGTTATTCTTGGGAAATCTCTCTGAAATTATTTAGTAAGAAGACATCATTTTAGATTTCTGCACATTGCATACATATAACTTTTCAGTGAGTCTGGGAAAATGCAGTTTGGGAGGAAGTGTGATAATAAGGGAATGGAGCTTTTTTAATCATGCCCTAGGTGAGTTGTATACATATTCCATTTAATCCTTTTTCAGACTCTATGAGGTAGATGTTCGTCCCATTTTGTTATTGTTCTGGTTTAGTCACTAAGTCGTGTCCAACTCTTTTGTGACCGCATGGAGTGTACCACCAGGCTCCTCTGTCCATGAGATTTCCCAGGTAAGCATATTGGAGTGGGTTGCCATTTCCTCCTCCAGGGGATCTTCCTGACCCAGGGATCGAACCCATGTCTCCTGCATCAGCAGGCAGATTCTTTACCAGAGCCATCAGGGAAGGCCTTGTCCCATTTTACAGATGAGGAAGTGAAAGCCCAGGGACATAGCACCCAAGTTCACTCTTAATGTAAAACCAGGATTTGAAGCTGCATCTGCTGGAAGCCTCTTTTCTCCTTACTCATCAGGTAGCCTGCCAGGGAGTTGGTGGAGAGGAGGCTGATGAGATCTGAAACTTGACTGGAGCCTTGTGAGTTATGAGCTGCCTTGTCCAAGAAGGCTTCCTGGGAGGGGCAAGTTTGAAGAAACTTCTTAATATCCCTGAACTAGAAAACATTTAAGGAGTCATCTCCAAATTCACAGCCAAAAATCAGGTTAAAGTAGTTGTGAAATTAATCTGATGGGTTGTTTAACTGCCCCCAGGTGTATCTTGTGTTCTTCAAGATCACCAAATAGGGGTGGGCCTGGAGTGGCTTAAGAGGCAGATGGTAGGTCTTCCACACCATTTTCCTCTGGACACTGGGGACACTATGCTGGTGATCACTGAAAGGTCTAGTTTACGTGGTTTGGTAAAAATAGAAATAATCAAAGTTCAATAAAAAGAGCATCCCTTCTGTCCAATAGATTCTGGTTGTTTGCGGGGAACTTTGCCAGTGACTTCAAGAAGTTCGGAAGTGTCCAAAGATCTTCTTATTTTTCCTGGATGCACCCTCACTGTCATTTATTTTGCTCTCCTGGGAACAGCAGTACACTGGGTTCTCTAGCTTTTCAGTTCATAATATATTTCTTATTAACCAAAGCCCAGCCTTATGCCTTAGCATGGCAATTAGTGAGAGGTCTTTCTTTTAAAAAAATTTAAAGGCGATTAAATTCATTTAGGGGAGAACAGTATACAAGACATGAGCTTTAAACTTTTTTTTTTTTTGCAATTGGCACTGTCTTGTGCCAATGTTTGATTATATTATCATCTGGAATTTCGCTGTTGATTTACTTTCCGTTAGGACAAAACTCCCTCCGGCAGTGTCCTCTGAATGGCTCTCTCCCTGAGGTTATCATCCCACTGTGTCCCGACATTACAGGCAACTCAACCCATGGTGACGACTCACAGAGACTCAGGGAACCTCCCGGGCCGCCGGTGGCCCAATTTGCACGCTGTCAGTCTCAGCAAAACCGTCTCCTGCTATGTCTCTTTGCCTCCCACAGCGGCCAGTTACAGTTGATGAGCCTTAAACTATGGGGGGTAGAAAGACGTCCAGAGCCATTTCCTGTTGGTGGTGTGCTGATTCAGGACAAGCGCAACCCTGGGGCGTGGGTTTTGGAATACCCTGTGACCAATTTCTTTCTCTCTTTCTTTTTTTTTTTTTTTTTTTTGGTTCTTATGAAAAACTTCCTGGCTTCTAGTACTGCCGTTCTCACTGGGGTCGCCCTGATTGAATCTAAATTCCATAAGTAACAAGCAGATAATAGACGTTTATCCGACCCCCTCCTCCCATCCCTTTTTGCACCTCCTCCCCCTTTATTTCTTTGAGCAAAGGAAGGAGAAAAACGCTTAGATCCCATACCGCACCCGGACCTTTTGGGGGCACCTGGTGGCCAATCAGGAAAACCTGATCCTCGGGAAAGGGTGGCTGGCTGCCGATCACCTTCCGAGCTGGAGAAATCACGGCGTGCTAACTTTATCCGCGGGATTGCAGAAAGGGAGAGTGTGCTCCCGAGCACAAACAGGAAAGCCTGACATCACGGAGCGGCGGGGTGGCGTGGGGAGGAGTCTGCGGCGCCCTCGCTCGCCGGCTCGCTGGCCGCGCTCCCTTTGTGGCCGAGTCGCGCGCACCGGCGGCGGCGGGCGCGTGTCTGTGCTCCGTGCGCGGCGGCCGCGCGGGGCCGGGGCTTGGAGGCGCCGCGGCGGAGCCGCGCGGGGATCGCGTTCGCCTGGGAGCGGGGCGCATCATGCCGCGTCCACACACCGGAGAGAAAACTGAGAATGAAATTGCTTTGGCAAGCTAAAATGGTAACGAGAACTCTCTGCCTTCTCCCGACGCTGCTCTGGTGGGGAATCCTCCCGCTTTCTCTGGGCGGGTTTTGGACTCCCTCGCAGTGAACGGAGCCATCCGATCCCAGACTTGGGAGCTCAGAGCTTTCTCTCTCGGCTTTCTCCGCCTTCCTCTCTGCGTGTCTTCTCCCTTTAAACCATACTTATTTTTCTCAGCAGTTGCTTTTGGTGTATCTGGGCTGATGTATGTGTCAGCAAAGGAAAACTTTTCAGGCAAGAGGTCTGTGAGTCTGCGTGAACCGCGGAGCGCCTCTGAGTCCCAGCGGCTCTTTAAACACAAACTTCAAGTTTAGAGAAACCCAGGGGGTCGCTGCACACAGCCGATGTGTTGCTTTTTTCTGCACTTGCCAGGTTATTTGACGGAAATAAAATTTTTTTCCCCTCCCGCTAACTTTCTGGGTTCCCAAACAATAAGAGGAGAAAAAAGACTTGCGAAGTATTTCGTTCCAAAGGAGCGAGCACTCTTAGCATTTTAAACACTTGTTTGTGGCAGAGTTTAAAATGCAGTTTGCTCCAAGAACGGAGCCACTTATAAAGAGACAAACTTTTTCTGCCAGTGAATTCTTTTTCCTTTCATTTAAGGAGGAAAAGTGAGCCAGGACTAAACTTCAGTTTCGTTAAGAAAGAAAAGACTTTAGAAAGCTATTTAAGATACGTGAAGGAGTCTAGGAAAAATAAATGGAAAAGCCCTGGGCTCTTGATAGCCTAGGAAAGGGCCAGGGGGCCAAGAAAATCTCAGCATTCCCTCTGCCACAGTGTGTCTTATGTTGCTCTGATTGTAATATTTATTTTGAACAGCCCATCTTATGCCCTGAGTGCTGTTGTAAGCAGCAAAGCAGCTGGGATAGATTGTGGTTAGTGGAGAGGGGGAAAAAAAAACAAACAATTTTTCTTTTTCTTTGTCCTGTCTCCTGGCAGAGCTCGATTCAGGACTGGGGTGAAGAGGTAGAGGAAGGAGCTGTTTACCATGTCACCCTCAAGAGAGTCCAGATTCAACAGGCTGCCAATAAAGGAGCGAGATGGCTCGGGGTGAGTAAAGCTGGGGAGACTGTGAGCCTTGGACTTGCAGGGCCTCTTGTTCTGTGAATATCATTATTATTTAGCAGAGGCAAGTTTTTTTTTTCCTCCATTTCTTCTCTTTTGGCCTTAAAAAGGAAACTGCCAATGACCAAGTGTTTGCACTAGACATACCGGTCTGTTTTTGTACTTATTCTTTTCTGAAGCGTCTCCCTTAGGTTTGTCAATAATTCAGAACGTCGTAGAGACACCTTGAGGTATTTGGCAAATGGAGTGAGGGTGGGGTGGCAGAAAGTAACGCAGAGTAACAGGACCAGAAGATAGCACTGCATCACCCGCTGGCATCCTTTTCTCTCCGTCTCCCCCGCTTTTGATCCTGACAGCCCTTCTCCCGCTCCTGTTCTTGTACCAAGTACCCAGAATGCTCAGGGGCGCTGATACTCCAAATCGGCCTCCTTGGGGGGCTGCGCATTTCCCATGGTTACATCCTTTACATGGTACTTAGTGTCCACCTCTTCATGTGTCCAGTGTTTGGAAGGCTGGGGCTCTGGAGAAACACTGCTTCCTTAAACAACATTTTTGCCCCCTGCTGAGATTTTAAAGTACTGGGTGAGATCATGTGAGTTATTCATTATCTCCTAATGGATCCTTCAGCATATCCCAACTAAAGGGGATGTGGGAAGCCTGGGCAGACATCATCATGTGGAAGAACGAAGGAGTTCTTCATCTGCAGGTAGAAGGAATCCTCCGAGAACAGTGAGAGGTGATACAGAGAGCCCTGAGAAAGAACATAGCTAAGCGAACAGAGAGGTTGGAGTGTGGTTTCCCCAGGCCTTATTCTGGTCATACTCAGGCTTCACAGCTGATGGGCTTGAGAACAGTGAAGATTATGCACCGGCATCCAATCTCTAATATCTTTGGGTTTCAGAAAATTCAGGTTGTTTTTTTAATTTTTTTTTTTAATTTGAGCAGCAGTCAAAGGTCAGGTGCGAAAGAGGACAGGAAACACAACGGCCCAGGGTTTTAAGACTAGAGGCAGCATGTGACTTGCAATTCCTGGAGTTCAAGGCAGGATGGCCAGCAGCAATGATTTCCTCTTCCGTGGGTCTCCTGGGCTGCTGACACAGGCATTCATTGCTTTTGGGCTTCCCCAGCTGCTTCAAGTCAGGCTGTGTATTTGGGGTTGAAGTACCACCCTCTGGGGCGGTCAGTTGTTAGTTGCATCTGTAGGTATGGCCTAGAAAGGTAGGCCTTTCCTTTGAAAGCCTGAGGTCTTCACTTATTAAGCAGGTACCTTACTCGGGATATGATTTTGAAATTAATTAGGTGTATTACCAGCAGACCTGATAGGAAAAGCAGAACTAGAGTTCTGACAAGTCATCACTTTATTTTTGGTGGTTGCGTGTATTGCATTTTATTTAAATGCAGTATTGATGTGGTTTGGCCCAAGTATTTCAAAATGATTCACAAGCTTCTGAAGCAGCTGCCTTCAAAAGGGTTATTACATTTTCTGATGCCAGGTTGTTCCTCTCTTTATAATGAGACTGATGTTGCTTGGACAACAGCTTTAGTTTTTGGCCAAACACAATAGCCGTGAATGAGTAAGTCACGGGAAAATGGACAGGTTAACTCTGTAGGTCCCAAACACAACGAGTTATGGTTCGTTTAGATGTCCCCAGTTATTTGGTAATTCTCACTGACCATTGTGTTCATGGGACTTCTCTTCTCTCCACCCCCTCCCAGAGTCCTCACATTTATGCACAGCTCGGAGTTGGTTCATCCCGGATTTAGCAGTAGAGCTAAAATACCAAGAGGGAAATATGTGAAAAGATTGCTTCTAGTTGATGGAGGGATTTGTCCCCTCCTCCCATTTCAACAAAGTATGATTTGCTGTGATCACCCCCTGTGCTCAGGAACCAGTTCTAGGAACTCTCCCACCCCAATCCCCCTTGTTTTCTTGTCTTCAGTGTCCTGTTGGGAAGCACTGTTTTTGTCCTTGGAAATTCCAGACTTAATTAAATGTGACTCAACCAATTGAGCCATAGCAATTACAAAGCTTTTCTCTTTAGGCCTGTGAGTGGCTTCTCTATACTTGTTTTTCCAGTCACCCTTTTAGAATTCTTCAGAGCAACCAGTTTTATGTATTGACTTATTATTGACCTATTGCTGATGTGCAGTTCGGTGTTAGTGGTCCCGTATGCTACATGATGATTTGACATTTGCACGCATTTATGACATGATCCATGATAATCCTAGTAAGCCTTCGTCCCCATACAAAGTCACTGTGATATTATCGACCATATTCCTCACGTCAGAGCACCTGGGTTTATAGTGAACCAGAGATGGAGATGAGGTGAGCTCATGTCAAAATATGACAATGGTTCATGAGGAAAGGTGGAGTTGTGATTATCTCTTTCCACATGAGGAAACTAAAGTCAAGAGAAGTTAAATTGCTTGCCGGGGTCACACAGCTAGGAAGTGGTAGAGGCTGGATTTGAACCCAAATGTTTAGTTCCTTGCTGTTGGGAGCTACCTGGGACCTGAAGGCTGCTTCCATAGTAGTGGAAGAAATATTGACTCAGAAGAACAAGGATGCTTTAATATACTTTCCCCCTACGTATTACCTGGTTCAAGACTCAAGAACAGCTTTCTTTTCTTTATGCTTTGAGTGATAACTTGAGCTGCAAATTGAGATATTTGCTGTGAGGATGTGTTTCTTGTTGATAAGCTCTCCATGTTGGATGTGTAAAGTGTGGGGCACCAAAGACGTACGAGTTTATGTAGCACCTGAGGGGGGGTACGACTCTCACTACAAGTCTATAAGGCTAATTAGGAAAACCTAAGTGACTGAGTGGGCTTCCCAGAAATCTGCCTGCCAATGCAGGAGACGTGGGTTCAATCCCTGGTCTGGGAAGATTCCCTGGAGAAGGAAATGGCAACCCACTCCAATATTCTTGGCTGGGAAATCCCATGTAGAGCCTGGTGGGCCACAGTCCACAGGGTCCCTAAAGAGGCTACAGTCCACGGGATCCCAGAAGAGTCGGAGACGACTTAGCATCCGAACGACAACAACAAAGTGACTGAGTGTAGTTTTTGTAGTTTCTAGTACTCTGATCACAAAACAGAATTAAGATCCAATTTGGGAAGGATAAAAAAAAAATTACACATCCTCAGATGTGAAGTATCATACAATCCAAAACATTGAGGACATTCTTTGTTTTGTTTGTGAAATTTTGTGTTCAGTTGCTCTTTTGAAGTAACACTCTGTCTTCAGTTGTAAGTATACAGTCAACTGTGGCCCAGGCTGGATTTAGGTGCATGCAGCTGCAACTTTGCTCACTGACAGTGAAGTTATGCCGGGCAACTTTGAAAAACCAAATATTATTGAAATACTGATCCAGTTTTCTCTTTACAGTAACATCTTAGGCTGGGATAATTTTACCCAGCTATAACCCTCAAAGAAAAATGGTTCTGATTATGTCAGAGAATCATAAAATCTCAGGGCTGGAAGAGACATTAAAAATAATGTATCCAACTGTTCGATTAAGCTTATAGAAAAATTTCCAGTAATTTTTGGAAGAGCAAATAGTGAAAAGTTATTATTCTACTTTGGTCCCAGTGTCATGGTCATACATTGACAATGAAATGTAGAAACGATTTAGGAAAATATCAGTATTCTCTGGAAGCAGGAAATGTCCCATTTTAGGAGGAATATTCAGATGGACCGAGGAAAGGGAACCACTGTTAGGGGAAGGGCTTCAGTGTCCAGAGCCCATTTTGCTGTCTTCAGACTATGGCAGGCTCAGGGTCCAGGGAAATCTGTCAAACCCAAGGTTATCTCAGAGTGCGGATATTTGTTTCACAGGCAGGATTGGAAGAGTGCGGTCATCTCTGCAAGGTCTGTGGGGAGTGGAATGGTCAGCAGATAGTCACAAGGCTTTTCTCAGTTCTGGGCTTCTGTGGCCCCGTGTGTGGGGCCCCAGTGCCTCCCTGCCCTTCGGCCCATGTTTATCACACTATCTCCCACAGAGGCCCTTGTTGGGTTGAGTTGAAATATTTGATAGCTGGGAGTCTGTTAAAGATAATGAAATGGGACAGGAGAAAACAGAATGCCTTTAGAAATAAAAGGAGCTAGAACTCTGTTCTAGTTGCTCGTGGGTTGTGTGAGTGCAGTGGGAAGGTAAGCACAGTCAGGCTGGGTGGAGACGTTGACCTCAACCTGAGTAGACTGTTGGGGTTGAGTCTACCTGGTGTTGGCACTACCCTGCTGTCAGTAGTGCCTTTAAATGGCATACAGTTCTTTGCATTTTCCGCTCACTTCACTTCTGGGAAGCTCCTCTGATCTCCCTGGCCTGGAGGACGTGCCGCTTCTGCATGTCTCAGAGGCATTCTTTATCTCTGTCATGCATTTACCTCTCTCAGCTGTAACTGTTTGTTTGTATTTCCCATTAGACTCTAAGCCCCGTGAAGTGGGAACTGTGACCATCTAGTTGGCAGAAACTCAGTATTTGTTGAATGAATGGATCAAGCTTCATGCCTTCTGGGGAGGCAGATATTATCTTGATAAATATGAAGGTATGGTTGCTCCTGATTTAAAACCAAGTTAGCATGAAGATATTAGCTTACAAAGAAGAGGGGTGCGTGGAAGTGAGAAAAACTAATTAGCTATGATTACAGCTGTCTTACATCCTTTTTATAAAAAAGCAGGGCCCAAACAAAGATAGTGATTATTCATTTTAACAACAACAACAAAAATCATGGCAGTGAATTAACTTGCCTTTTGAAGCCCAGAGGTCCAATTGTATTGAGTGTTGAAGAAAGAAAGGTGATGCACAAGTTAGAAAGTGTTGGCAAACATTACCATCATGTGTGGTCGTATGGTCGGAGGGCTCAGGAGCGGGGTTTTAGAATTTTAAGGAGATAAGCCTTAGAGAGGCCCTCAGTTTATAGTTTGTCATCATTGTTTTCATCTAGGAAAACAGGCCCTTGGGTTGCCTTATTCTGATAT